AGTAGTAGTAGTAGTAGGTTTTGTAGTAGTCGTAGTAGAAGTAGTAGTAGAAGTAGTAGTGGTAGTCGTAGTAGTAGTGGTAGTAGTAGTCGTCGTCGTCGTCGTAGTAGTAGTAGTAGTCGTAGTAGTAGTCGTCGTAGTAGTAGCATTATTTTGAGTAGTAGCAGTACTAGTAGTAGAGAAGGCTTCTGTGCTTGTGCCCAGCGTGGCTTCTGCACTTGCATTGAAGGTCATCAACATGAGCCAGTAGCTTCCTTGCGAGGGAAAATGTTTCTATGATTTATGATTATCAAACTCTAAACAGCAGGCAGCCAAGTAGAAGCAAGCTTCTGTTGCAAGGACATCCTGCGGCCCTACTCCAAGGCTTCGGACCTCGCGTGCGTGAATGCATACATGGCCATACTGCTGGGGGCAGGTACCTTTCGCCTTTCGCGTGCGATTTCAAGATGTGGATGGTTGGTTGGTTTCGGGGCGCTGACATCTCTTAGCCTTTTTCACATCTTCATCTGCCTGCGGCTCGTGGAGGTCCCACAGCTGATTGAACGCGATGTACCCAACGCGACCTTCCTCGCCAAAATCTTCCTATTATCGCGCAGTTATTTCTTTTACGCTGTGTTATCAATGTTGAGCTGGTACGGGGCATGCTCCATTCAGTTACAGAATGTATTTCTAAACGTCCTGAGTGTCGTGACCCCAGACATGGAACAGCATGCTGACGACTTCGAGGATTTGGACACACCGTTCAGGTGGAAGATTGTCGGCACGGTTCTGCTGGCCATCGTCATCGTTCCGCTATCGTTGAAGACGAGCGCTAAGGACCTTCAGACGAAAGCCTCCTACGCCGTTTACTCCATGCTTGCGATCGGCATTCTCGAGATGACGTGTGCATCCTTTCATGGTGTTGCCATCTGGTTCTCTGATCATCCTAATACTTATTGCATGGTGGGAAAGCAGATTCCTCAGGGACTCTACGACATGGGCATGGCCTTTGGAGGCATAGCCATCTGGCCTTATGTCTTGGCTGACATGCTGAACCCAGGCAATGCCAAGATTGTAGTCGTGAAGGCGACCACGAGGATCATGTTTTTCTACCTGTTCGTGGCAATGATTGGCTACTTTGGCTGGGCGAGCACGATCGAGAAACGCACGCCTTTACAGCAGATGATGGAGATGGGCCTTTGGTACCAAAATGCTGCCCGCATTATCAGCGCGCTGTTCGTGCTAAAGATGCTTGGTTTGATGATCGATAGCGGTATGGGTGGGCCGGCCCGAATTCTACTGCTGCTGCTCTTCTTTCTCCTCTTCGTCCTCCCACTACCGCTACCGCCACCACAGCTACGATTACAATTCATTATCACTGCCACTACCACTACCATTGCCTGCTACTTCGGCTGTTTCTGCTATTACTACTACGCATCGACGACACCTACTATACTACCACCACCCCTTCTTCGACTGCCACCACCATCACTACTGCTACTGAGGCTGCTACTACTACTACTACTACTACTACTACTACTACTGCTACTGCTACTACTGCTACTACTGCTACTGCTACTATTATTATTACTACTACTACTTCTAAACACTACAAGTACTAGCAAGTACGACAAGTAATACAGGACTCACAAGTGCTACAGGTACTGCTGCAGCAGCTGCTGCTGTCGTTGTTCAGCTCCTGAGTGCCTAACCTAACCCTTTCGCTCAAGACACCCTTGTGCTTGCCTCGTCGAGGTTTCTTTCCTGCCTGTGACGCGGTCCTCAGATGGAACATGTGCGAGTTATGCCTGGGGATTATTAAAATTCGGGCCTGGCTCCAAGGGCTAGCCGCTAGCCTGCTTCAAATGACAGGGGTGTTCGAGGGTTCAGGCTGCAAGCTGTCGGGTGTAGAGCAAACCGGTGCTTCAGTATTTTGCCTCTTCACATACATGTATGATCACCTGAAACCTCGTTATCGCAATGCACGTCTCAGTCCGCACCCTAAACTGGAAAACTCCAGAAGTCCGCAAAACCTGAACATGCCAACATCTTAGACCAAAGCCTGCACATGGTGCTTTCTCTCACTAGATTGAGAGCTCTTGGTACCAGTAGCAACTGCGCCAAGCGACGGGGTTGCCGCGTTCTTGCCTCGGCCCTTCTTTTTGTCCTGGCAAGGTACTTGCGAAGAGGGTTTGTACGGTGTGGTGCTCACATGTGCTCACGATCTGGCCCTACTTGAAGAAGATATGGTGCAAGCGATCCTCTCGGGTGGAACAAAACGCAAGCATTCGGGTACGAAGCCAACTTAAAGACACACGCAAATTGCAAACCTACAACTGACCCGGGCCTCCAACTATTAACTACGGAAATTCTGATGGTTTCGGGGTTGACAATATCACGACGACCAAGATGGAGGACTAGCTGCACCTTTGTGCGACAGAAGCACAGCCCGCACAGGAAATCTGTCAGCGGAAAGCGAGTCCTTGGCGGTGGACTTGCGATCGTTTCCTGATCAAGAACTCAAGGCTCTCGCCGCCCTAAGCCTCTGAGGCATCTCCGAAGCCCCTTAGTCCTGCTTAGGTCGCAGTCCTGGCCACCCTAGGAATGTTAACTGGCAGATGACCTCTTCCAACATTCTTGGCAGGCGATTCTCCAGTGTTTAGTTTCTCGAGGGCCGTTTGGTTGCAGCATCTTCGTAGTCCTCCCTGGAACATTGTCCACGCTCCCTGTTGCAGCTTACAGAAGTCATTTCACACCCCCATCCGGAATCCGGACCTTGTTCGCAACACAGAAGCGATGATGCCCGTTTGCAGGTTCCGCAAACACCCGAAGGCCCTGAACTCCAACCCGCCGAAGCTTGTTGGCACCCGATCCGCAAAGATCCCGTCATCATCTACTTTTCCTAAATCTGATGCAGAATGAAAAAGCCCTTGCAGGTCTCATCCGGAGCTGAAGCCCAAGTTAGAAGATTCTCGAAAAGATCGCAGCAAAAGCCGAGCTCTTGGCCTGCCGTGCAGTAGAAGTCCACCTTCCCATCTCCGATGGTGGAACAAAAACCCCAACCACGCCCTCATCGCCATGGAGAAAAAGGACAAAGCTGGGGACCCAGTCTCGGGTACGACACAAGGAAGTTTCTCTCAGATCGTATTGTGGAAGTCATGTTGGAAGAAATATGCCTCCAAACTAAATAGACACAGCAAAGCAAATGAGCCACACAGGCTGGTTCATCAGTTGCACCGACACGAGCAACTGCAACCTCTTGGCCCAGCATCTACATGGTTTAGGGCCTAGAGTTTCTGGTTCCCCGCAGCCGGCCTGCGGTAGCAGCAGTATCGAGGACTTCCACGGGAGGAGGTTGACGCCGCCATTGCCCTGCATGCCGGCGCACCACACTCGGGCTGTCCGGATCTTAAGCTTCCGACCACACCTTGACAAAGGATGCTGTAATCGATGATCGTTTCTTTGAGTTGATCCCGTCCTCACCGAGGACCGAGCCCTTACCCCTGAACGTGGCCGCATCAAGACAAGGAAAGTAACGTGGGGTTTCGGGCTTCTGAGATTCATGGCGTTTGTGGCAATGCCCGCAGTGCGAAGAAGAGCCCAATGTTTTCAGACGAGTGGAGAAAATCCTGACCAGGAAAGTACAGCAGCAAACAGACCTACTGCTGACCGCCAAAGCCACAAGGCTCTTGAACTCTTGAACTGAATGCAGGTTTTATTCAACAAACGCCGAGAAGCCAGAAAGCAAGAAACCACGCAGCCGGCATGACGAAAGGACATTATTTCCAAAGCTTCGATTCACGCCCGCGGTGCTACACCCCACACCCTAAATTGTAAGACCCTAGACGTTGTCAAGACTCTAACAAGGCTCTACTCTTGAAAATCCCCAAGCCACCCCAAGCCCCAAGCCACATACGGAAAAAAGCGAAGAAGCTGCCAGAAGCCCAAGGCTCGCTCCGAGAGCATGCTCAGGGAGGGCGAGGTGAACGCCTCCGCGGCCCCGGGTCGGAGAAAGTTGATGCAGGATGACTCAACCGCTGTTGCGGTTTTGGGGGGCTGCCATAGTCGCGGAGAAGATTTGGGCTGAGGCTGCAGAAAGTAGTGCCTTCGAAAGCATGGAGGTATTTAGACAAGATCAGTGAAGAGCCCCAGCATCCCCAGCCTCCATAGGATTCAGGTTGTGCACTTGCACCTGCAGCGCCTGCCCCAGAGGCTCAACCAAAGGCAACATGTAGCAAACACGGCTTAGGCGCGATCCTGCAGACTATAAGCAATCTGAATTGATCCCGGAGGCAATACATCTACAAGCACTGAAATTCGGTTACTTTCCCTATCCTGCATCATCTGCATCCTCCTGAACCACGTCGGCACGAATCTTGAGACAGGCCGGACTCAGCAAAATCTGTGAAGAGCTCTATGTTCTGCCGGTACACTCGGCACCGAAGGGCGCAACAAGTACATGACAGTCATCTCGCACCTTGAACCCTCAACAAAGAACCCCACGTCCAGGAGCACGAAAGCCAACTCCATCCATCTCCCCGTCTTCCCAAACCCCAAATTCTGAACCCAAGACTTTCCGTTCATGGTGTGGAGGCACTTGCCCGCCCTATTCGGGTGTAGGGTTCGTGCTTGTTAGGCGTTCAGAATCCAGAGCTTTAGCTCAGCAATAAAGTTTCTGTTGAGCAGATGTCAAGATGCAGGTGCCTTTGGGGGGACTGGCTCGAAGTACGGCCGGAAACTCGGAAGAGTCCACCCTTTCATACGTTTGGTTATCGTGCTTGGCCTGCGGCTGACCGGAGCGTCTAACCTCATTGACATTTCAGGAGTGACACAGGGATTTTGGCGACATGACATGTCGCCCCAGGTGCAATGGAGTGGAACCATGTGCCTCAACCAATGCCACCCTGAATCCGGGGGGTCGAAACAAGCCACCGACTTGCAGATGGGATTTGAGGGGGAGCTGAGATTGTGTATAAAGGACTTTGCCTGCATTCTTCAGGTAGAGTGTACTGCGTTCCTCGTTCAGGGATTGTGGAGGTTGCTGGGAAATCCAAAGCTGCCCGAATGAACGTGCCGAAGAATACGCGTGTTCCAATCTCTCAATCTTGTCAACAGCACATCCGGCGCGGGGACCAAAATCCCTGCCACCAAAAGCGCTGAACCATGTAAACACAAACTTCACCATTGTACTTTGCACCATGCGGAAAGCAAGGACTATATATCCTATCTATATATATAAAAAAAAAATATATATATATATATATATATATATATATTATGCCTTCAACTCTTCAAGGTTTTTCTTGGGCCCAGTCCCGGAGCAAGAGCGGATTCAGCTGCGCCTGATGCGCAGAGCTCGAAAGTGTCAAGGCTCGATGTCTTGAAACTGCAACTGGTTTGGGTTTCTCATTGAGGGTTGCGCAGCACCACCAGTCGGATCACAACCGCCGCCCACAATCGCCGTCATCACCACAATCATCCGCGCGATGACAGCCCGCATTAAATCCTTCATTACACGCCAGAAGCGCCTTCTTCTACTAGCACTGCTTCAAGGTGCTGCTGCCCAGGTATGAAGTGGATGAAGCCTCCACAGATCCCCACCATCACAGAACAATCACTTGATCCCAAGCCTCAGGCCCGAAGGCAAAGGAACTCTCAAGAGGCCCCCTTCAGAGCCTCACCTCCCGGAACCTTTAGCCTCCCCGAAACACTTAAGACCCAGGCCTGCTTGCACAGAACCATTCCACGGTTGTAGTGGTCCACCGTCCGACCCTTACGAAGACACGATGCTGTGGGGTCCGGATGTCCGTCTGTAAGTTAAAGGCTTGAAGCAAGCTGGTCGACATTTCCAGTCGGCTTGAGCTTCAAGAAACATCCAACTTTAGGTTGCTGCAAACATCTTGCTAGAATAGTACCGGGCGGGTAAAGCCCTCCAAGAGCTCCTCCAAAGCATGGGGAGGAATACCACTTCCCAGAATTCCTCCGTTTGCAGCTCCTAACGCCCTCCGGTCAGTTGAACCCACTTAATTATCTGATTGCAGCTGCTTCTAGAATGGGATGTCGTGCTCTTGCGATTGGCGCACTAAAGCTAAAGGCCCCAACGAAGGCTCAACAGCTATGTTGGTTGCCTGTAGTTGCTATTCACTGTTGAAACCTTCCTCGCGACAGTAACAGCAGCCGGCCCCCGACCCGTCTCCAAACCAATCGATGTCCGGACTCACCCTCTGGCCCGTGAACTCTGAGTCTTCGCACGCTGATGCCATCAAACTCTACCTCGAACATGCCAAGCATGTTGGACTTGCCCACAGCAAGCTCCACCTGCGAAAAGGTCAGCGGGAGCGTTTGTGATCTGAGGAGCTTTCGGCTGGTTGGGCGGAGAGTCCGCTTGGAATACTGTGGAGATACTTCACCGGGTTGAGCCCTTGTACCTTCGCTTCAATACGGAGCAGCCGGTGCAAACAAACGCATGCATCGGTAGGCCGCAGGAAAAGCCACAAAATAGAGGAAGCGCCCAATGCAGCCGCGAATGTTTCAGAGCCTAAAAAGCCCATTCCTCATAGCTCAACTCCAAACGCTGCATGAGAGCTTCACAAAATGAGGACCCCAAAGCAAACTCCCAGAAGTAGGATTCTTATTATGTTAGGAACCCCCAATAAGGGATCCCTGTGTATGTTGAGGAACCCCACATCCCGCAAGTCGGGTCGGGCCGGACGTTTCGTGAACCCAAACTAGAACCCTTACGTTCCAATCTGCATGGCCTTCTGCTGGAGTTTGACCAGGAGCTCCTTCAAGAGAGCTTCCCTGTGTCGAGAGACTTTTTGCTTCGTAAGAGCTTGGGATTTAGGGCTCTGCTCTGCGTCTTGGTCGGTCGGTTGATGTAGTGACGGACATGGTCTGAACGGGCATGTTCTGCGTTGAAGCCTGCAAAGGAGTAGCGGTGCTACTAGTTATTGAGGGGCCTGCACCGACTCCCCTCGAAGCCGTTGCAGCAGCTGGGCTATTCCCAGAAGATTGCCGCAAGGTGCCTGCGGATGACGTGGTCCTGAAATCCGAAGTGCTGAAGACCAGAAACCTGACCTGAACAACAGCTCACTCCAGGCGCCAAGCTCCGATGGTCGTCGTTCCAGATCGACCACGTCCAGGCCGTTGCGCCCCCGCTTCATGAAGAACCTCGGAGCCACTACTCATTGCTCGCTTAGCATTCAAAGATATATGCTTCAAAAAAGTCGCATCGTAGCGAAACATGAAGGGTACAAGTATCGTCCGACTGCACATGGGCTTCGCGTTGGCAAGTCCACTTTACAAGCCTCTTCGATGAACGCGGGCGTGGCTAAGATGCATCACACGCTTTCAAACAGTGCACACGATTCTCAAGTCATGCAGCGCTGAACCAACAAGCCAACACCCGTTGCTTTGTCGGGAATCTTGACACTGGAATTCCAGTTGCCTTGTGGGTGGGCCGGGCTGGGGTTACTGACTTGCTCGCGCCTCTTTGGAAGTCTGCGAGGTTCATGGTTTAGAAGCAGCGTCGGTGAACAAAGGGATCCGGGCTGAAAGCCCGGTATGAACCCTAGTTTCCTAGATCCGCAAATGCCAGCGGACGGTGGGCTGCACTTGTAACAGATTTCGGCTCCCTCAACACGCCAGTCTCTTCTGCATCAGACCGAGACCCACTGCAAACCCCACAAAACGAATATCGGGCATCACGATGATGAATACGACGACGACGACGATGATGATTATGAGCACAATGATGGTAAGCATGATGATAACACATGTTCCCGGGTCTCTCTCTGTCCCCTTTCCCTCTTCCCTACCCTGCTACCGAGGCTGCCGCTGCAAGCGTCGCCGGAAGGGCGCCCAATCCATGGCCTTGACCTGCGCCGTGAGGCTTCGCACAGAGAGTCCGAGACCCGAAGCTGCAAACACCAGGACTCTCCGACACTCTATTCAGCGATGTTCTGCGGAACCGTTACCTGACATCGCTGCATGGACCACAGCCAGATCTAGAGTTGCAAGTTGAGCAGAAGACCCGAGCCCTTTACGCCAAGCCTCGGACCCCTTGCAAATAGTGCTGTGAGAAGGTCGTAGGGGGTGAGATGTGGGTTCAACTCTGACCGGAAATGCTCGTCCTCTCGGTATTGCCTCCCCGATGCGGAGGTAGGCGAAAGTCATCAGCTTGCCGAGGTCGTCTACCTGGTCCTCTCTGGAGATTCGCTGCACGAGAGCTGTTTCCGGAGCAGTCTGGTTCTGTTGGATGTCTGGAAGTCTTCGAAAGAAATATCAAGCTGTTGACCAAACATTTCGAATCAACACCGCTCAAGTCCTCAAACGACGGAAACTGGACCGAGCACTGGGCCCTGGAACCCTGTTTTCTGATGTCCCAGCACTACAACGTCCCAAGACCCTTACCTCGTTCGAACAGAAAACAGGGTCAAGCAAGATAACCTGGATTTCCAGAACTGGAACAAGAATACGCATGGCACTTGTTCGCCTCTACAGCCATACTATCTACTGATATTCCTGTTGTAGTAGACAGCGCAGTAGCAGACGGAGAAGTACTCACAGTCGTCGTCGGCCTGATCGTCGTCGAAGAAGTAGTAGAAGTAGAGTAGCAGTAGAAGTAGAAGAAGAAGAAGTAGTAGTAGTAGTAGTAGTAGTAGTAGCAGCGGTAGCAGTAGTAGTAGTAGCAGCGGTAGCAGTAGTAGTAGCAGTAGCAGTAGCAGTCGTAGTAGAAGTAGTAGTAGTAGTAGTAGTAGTAGTAGTAGCAGCAAGGTGAGCGGAACTAGCAGGCGAGAGGCGGGCAATTGAAACTCCTTTGTTACCCGAAACGCTTGCCTTCAGAAAGCCCAAGTGCTGCAGCATAGCGGGCGTGGTGGGCGCAGTGGTATCCTGCAGGGTTTAGCCCGTGACGCTCAGCTTCGGATTGGGTTGCAAGGCTGTACGAATTCGGACGAAGGCTGCCATTTCGCAATTGCAGGCGAAAGCTTCCAGGCGAGTGCCGCAGCCAGCTTGAAACATAAAGGTATTACGACTGCTGGTTTCGAAGATTTGAAGACATGATATTTCTTTACTACTTCTGCTGAAGGCTCAGGGCAACGGCTTCGACATCAAGACGTGGAGCTCTAGACGGCAAGCATGTCCGATGACGGGAACCTATATCTTAGATCTTCCTAGAAGGACAGCGCGGTCAGACAGACAGGAGATGGCAGTGCGGCTGCGGCAAATTTCATTTGCTATCGTTCCGTTATATGATGATTACTCGTGCCGGAATAGCCGAACAAAGTCCAAACTCCTGAAAAACAAACGAACAAGCCGCTTGAACTGGACTGCTCTATCAGTCTGGCTATCTTCCCTTCTGTCATATTGCCACTGATCTTCACACTTCTTGATGACTCTCTGATCTTCACACTTCTTGTTTTCTCTTAGTACTTCCAATTACCAATACTATGGCATTCAATTTGTGTCAACATGTTTGCTATGCGACGAAAGCATATACAAAAGGCTGAACTGAGCTATGCTGGCATAGACGAAACGGTACCTATGCAGTAACCTGCAGTCCATTCCCAGGGAGCATAACATCCATCCCTGAGGCGCACTGCTGCAGGAGCACGATTTCGGGAGATCGAAATGCAAGGGACGCCGGCGGGGAGCCGGCCAACTTACCTACTTACCTACTTGTCCATCGATCTGTCCATCGATCTATCGATCGATCTATCTAGCTACCTGCCTACCACAAATACAGCTACTTAGATACTTATCCGCCTATCTACCTATATCCATCTATAATGAGTCAATGAGGTAGGCAGGCAGATAGATACATAGATATGTAGAGACATAGGTACATAGATAGACAGGTCGCATGCGCATGTTCCTTGCGTGTGTATGCTTTATACCTCGTGTACGTATAAGCTGAACGAATCATGTAGTACTACTGCTCCATTACACTAGACACTGCAGACGCACACACACACACACACATATATATATATATATATATATACATATATATATATATATGCACTACGACGAGCCGGTCCTTGGTGTGGCCCATGAGGCCTGTCTTCTCAGCTTATGCAGCAGTGGATCGGAGGTTTAAGGGTGCCAGGAGTTTGATGTGATCTGCACCGGGGCCGAAACTGCCACTCACTGCAAGTTGCAAGGAGAGTGCCGTCCACTTCTGTTCCACTGGAAGCATCGTGATGTCATGCTTGCAAGCCTTTTCAATTTTCAGACACAGCATGCGTGGCCACACCCTGCGAAGTTCTGTCTCTTACGCTTTGCAGATTAAGATTGACATGGTCATGCAATCTGCATCGCATCACCGCACCCGCGGTTCTAGAAAGGAAGGGAGGAGGAAAACAATACAGGAAAACCGGCACTGTGAAACTGACGCGCCTGAGTCCGAATGCAGTCTTGGACAAAAATTGCCGAAGCTGTACGGATCGGTTAAGGCTTCTGTGCCCATCCCCTTGGAGACACAAGTAAAGGCTCCAACGAATCTACACACACACACACACACGCTTGCTTCCTCCGATCGAAGTTTCATGACCACGTTTGCCAAGGAACCAACAACGAAGACTAACAGCGCTACCTTCGCTCATAACACCGAAACAAACTCTCTACCCGCCCTCCCCCCTTAAAAAAAAGTAAGAAAACAACAAGCCTTCCCATGGCTCCAGAACTGACGATAAAGGCGTGTCTCCAGGCGACGTCGTCTTGTCGAACAACTGGCAGCAGACTTAGGGCATTTCACTTTGGGCCACGCCGTGTTCTGCTGCCCGATGTGTCATGAGAATCGAACATGTTGGTCATGAGCCCCAGGCCCTGCAGCTTAGCTCAAACCCTCCGTTGTGGGGTTGCTCCTAAACTTATCCTGACAACCCTAATCCGCAACCTCTGAAAGCTTTAAGCCCAAATCCGCGAGCACTAAATAAGAGGCTATGCTTCTGGCCCCTAGGTCCGATCCCAGCACCGGGCTTGCTAGTCAGTCTGTATCTGACAGCCTGAAACAACGTGTAGGCAACTATGATGTTGCAACAGATGATGGCACACCCGACATACACAGTAACTTGCAGCATCACGCTCTGAGCGCCTCCGACAATATCTTTGTCTGCCCAACCGATGTTTGGTTACCCAAAGTCTCACATCCCAACCCCACTGCCCACAAAAAGGAGACCTGCACAGCCAAACCATAAGCCTGAAGCATAAACTGCTGGTTGAACCGCAACTGCAGGCCTCGAACGTGGTCACACCCAGGAAGATGCACATCGGGTTCCCGCTGTTTTTCTGCAAAGTCTTGATCCTCGGGTCTGAGAAGACAATATGACAACACAGAGTATTAATACGTATTGACCATGTGCGCTGCACGCAAAAACCTGTTCATCTTCAACCATCAGGCATCATCTTCAAGCATCAACCATCATCATCAAAACTACACCGATGTGCTGCAAGGGTGGAGCATACTCATATGCCTTGCCTTAGAGCTCCAAAAAGGCAAAAAATGCCTACAGCTGCCAGCAAGCGCCTTCGAAGTCCTCTAGGCAAGCGGAGTCCAACCCACTGACGACATTTTTCTTCAACTGCGCAAGGACATCTACGGGCCCTCATTGCTACTGCTAATCTACTGCTACTACTTTAGCAGGTAAAGATAACTTGTGCTTCTCCTTCTATTGCCACACACACACGGCTACAAGTAGTGCTTCTTATTCCCTCCTGCTGCTGCTACTGCTACTGCTGCTGCTACTGCTACTGCTACTGCTGCTACTACTACTGCTACTACTCCTACTACTACTACTACTACTACTACTACTACTACGACGACGACGACGACGACGACGACTACGACTACGACCACTATTTCTCGGAATGTTTCACCAATATGTTTGGCGGAACACATTTCCTCCTTGTCCTGCTGACTCTCCGACGCGGATGCCAAGCCTACACCTCAAACACATGACCTTCTGTGCGCCACTACTGATTATGCGGCCCAAGGGGAGTCAGAACAAGAATTCACCGGTTCTATTCACTGCAAGAACGAACTGCCGCAAGAATGACCGCTGAGGTCCGTGCGACACGATGTGTCGGCTAGGCTGATTCTTCCCTGCGTTCAGGTTCACCACAGACACCTGTCCGATGCTGACCTCGATCCACCTGGAAAGGGCTTGGGCTTACCTGTCCATCTCTGATCAGCTCTCAGTCTGCATAAGCTATGTCTGCAAACATCCCAACATCTCTCACTCCCGCGATGGGATGCATGCCCTTGATCTGCTTCTAGACATGCTTGCAAACTGGTAACCTAACCCTCAGATCGATACCCCTCAGCGCGAAACCATGAACAATGGAGTCTTGCAAATTGCCGTGATGTTCAAGATGCTGCGGAGAAGAACTTCTTACGATTCTGTCTCTTCGATTCTGTCTAACTCCATGCCCCAGTCTATGTGAGTTCTGACTTAGTTGGTCCTAAAGAATCAGATAAAGATCGAGCACACATTGTATTATAATTCCGTCAGATGTACCTGTAAAGAGCTTTCGCGAGGAATAGGCTTGAGCTGACTTGTTGGCACTCTGTTTCCTGGCTGATTGGACTGATGGATGGTTGGGCTCAACGAGGGTCTGGGGGCCGGGGGCAGTTGTGGCGGAATTTCTTCCTTCGGCTCGAGCGACACAGGCGAGTGAGGATCTAAGGCGTGAGGCTCTTACACTTGGCGATTTGCCTTTCCTGGAAGATGAATGTCACAGCTGCAGGGCCACTTGCTGTGTTAGGTTGGAGGAGTTCGGAGGGAGAGAGAGAGAGAGAGAGAGAGAGAGAGGGAGAGAGAGGGAGAGAGAGGGAGAGGGAGATATTCAGGATGGCGCAGACACAAGCTGCTCAGCAAGGCAAAGCCAAAACTTAGGAAGACACCTCGCTATCCGATATGCGCTGTGACCTTTGTTGATGACCTGGCAGGAGCAGGATCAATCGCAGTGCTTGCATGTCTAGCGAGTCTAGCTGAGAGGAATTATGAAGATTCGGGGCTTTGGGCTTCTGGCACTTTACGGCGCATCGGATATCGGGATTCACAGCTTGGGTTCGCGACCTGCAGAAGCCTGAGTTTGGGGCCTCGCAGTGCTGGAGAAGACTCTCCTCCCTGAATGTTAAGACTCGTACACCCTCATACACCATTCGCCTCGAGGATCGCGTTCTTGATGGAGGCGCACAGTACCGGTTGGCGAACTCGGGGTGCGACCACCCTTGCGATGGATTCGGGTCAAGGCAATCTCAGCAGATGACTGGAGTACATCCAACACTTCCTAGACTATCTCTAGGTTCTTGCTCCGCCTCGCTCGACTCTGAGCTCCTGCCCATGTTACTGCAGGTATCGCTTCAACACCCCCCTACGGACAAAGCGACAAGGCCACCGTTCATCTAACATTTCAAGCAAAAGGGCAGTTCCACACTTGTAAGACCCTACTAAACTTCAGAGCATCAAAACTGGAAGTAATGGGCCATATGTCGTCAACACCAGCATAAATAAGTCTAAACAGAAAAGACACTTACAAAAAAGCGGTCGCAATCATGTAACTATAGACTATAGCTGAATAGTCATATATGCTGATATTACTACGTAGTAAAGGCAGCCAGCAATAGTAACACTCACAAGAAGAAGCACAGATAAATCACGGAACCATACTAAGAACAGTGGCAGTTCCTGTTCATACAGATCATACATGCATACAAATGTGCATACTCAAATAAGTTCTGCGATTCTTGCTTTCCCGCCACTTTCCCTTAACTTAACTTTCTTTGCTTGCTTACTTGCCGGGTGCCTGAGGATCTCCTCGTTCGCTTCCTCCGGCCTCTCCTCGTCCACCAAGGTCCCTTGCCATCAGCGCTTCTCTTTGTCAGAGCTGTGACCGAGCAATAGTTACTTACACGGGTTTACGTCTGAACTCGGTGCTCCGCTTTCAGAAAAGTTCTTAAAGCTTGAGCTTCCTATGCGGTGTCGCGGGGACAGTGCTCAAGTGGGACATGCTTCCTCCACTGCCTGCGAGGTCCAGACTTAGAAGCTTTCAGCCGCGACCCCGGACCAGGACAGAACAAGGAAGGCGGCGAGGAGGTGCCTGGTTTGCACTTGGTATACCAGAATCCGCCCTGGGCGACAAGGAAGTAGACCTGGCAAGATGTGCTCACAAAACTCTGCCACCGGCTCTTCAATCGAATGAAATGAACAAACTGCGCCGGAAACATGTCTGCCTGGCGCGATGAGCAAAATCTTGCATTGCTCTGTCGGCCACCCGAAACAACCAAGGCTGGGACTGTTAACAGAAATGTTGGCAACATGCTAAAGATGCACTTGCAAAACCTGTGGATTCTCCAGAGTAATGTCACCTTCATTCTGGGCGTAGAGCGTGCAACTAAGAGATCACAAACGGGTTCTGAAGATGATGTCTTGCCGGCAAAGAGACCCCAACAGACTCCGCTGGCCTGAAAGGCCTGGAAGGTGACTTTTGCCTCGCACAAGGACGTCTTGGTGTAGGTTTCTTTAAGAAGCTTACGCCACAGCAGGGTATTCGAGTACATAGTAAAGAGGTAGAATCACTACTTTTCGGCACCCCAAAGTACTCATCAAGGTTTTGCACCGTAGTGCCTGGGCACAAAAAGCTTCACCACGCGGACCCATGCGTTCGTCAACTGTGGCATAGGACAATATCCCAGCCGACTGTCGCAAGTACCAGCCGTTTCCTCTGGTGAAAGGGCAGGTCCACGACTCCGAAGGTAAACCCTGCTTTTCGGACTCCTGCGCACTTTGCGTATGACGGATCTACGTGGCATAAAGCATGCTTGGAAACAGCTATACTAAACTTACTGTTTCAGGCGCCTACATTCAACCTAAGTCCAAGGAGTCGACTGAAAAGACGACAAGTCCCAAAGGATTTTGATGACCCCGCCTGCAATGTGTTCGGAAGGGGTCTAGGCTCCTTCACGCCCTGGCGCATGCTCACAGAGACAGGGAAGTTCGCATCTTGAAGAGTTTCGATGTGACAACCACTGAGAAATTTGCTTTCGGCGTCCACGGCAGGCCACGAAACCCAAATCGGAGCTCAAACTTTGGGTTCGGCCTTTGCCTTTCTGAGAGGTCTCCTGTCATGTCTCAAAGCCCCCGAAGAATACCTTCCCAATCCCAGACAGAATTCACGCACATCGGCCTTCGATGACTTGCCTTGGCAACTGGAGGGCTCTGGACGGCGATGGTTGGGCCGACGACTGACTCAAAAAGGGCAGCAGACTACAAAACTATGAGGGTAAGCTTTGGGGCTGAGTGCACAAGTAGTAGCGCTGAGGTCGAGACTCGTAGCTTCGTCGACCTCCACTGCTGCAACCTGAAAAGCGCGAGAGCTCAAGGCTTTCAGGAAGGCAGGGGTTGGGATCTTCGGAGAGTTGCGAATTGATGGATTTCGTTCGGGGGTTTAGGCCGCTGGAGCTCTTTCACGCAGGACTGCTTCGATCGGGAGCGCAAGTCTTTCGAGGTTTTGGGTGTCTTGGAGCTTGAAGCTGTCAACATTCAAACCACATACTATGTTGATGGAGCACTTCACCGGACTCACGCAGCTGTTGAAGCTCGATTTCGGGAAACTGGAGGTGCTTCGCTCCAGCTGCACACTCGGGCGCTTTCGGCGGTTCAGTTGACGCCAACCCTCGATCCCAAGACTCGAGAGCCCCATGTGCCCAAGTCTACCAGAGGCCGAAAACCAGGTGCACATTGGCCCCTGGGCTCTGGGACAATTTCGAAGGGGTTGTTTTTGCCAGGACTCACCTATTTACGGTTTTACGGTTTATTCCGGCGCCAGGACATACTTGCACTTGCTTCTTTCTAATTGACTGTGCCTAGATTGGCCTCATCATCGTAACAACTTGTCTATCTGAAAGCATCCCCCTCTGGGTGAAACTTCGTCTGCCATGTCTGAAAAGCGAAGCTGTGTCGTGAAACCCCGGCACAGTCCCTGAGCTCTTCTGACGATCGCTCGCGCGATTCAGGTGCTTTGGACTCCACCGGCTTCCGGGGCCGGCTCCACCTGGACGCTCACCTGAAAAATGCAACTGGGAGTTTCCGAAAATTGGGGGGGGTACCTTATTTTGGGGCCCTTATAATAAGGATCCTACTATTTAGGGTACTATATTAGGGTCCCCTATTTTCAGAATCTACCAACTGGGTCCGTGGGGTAACAAGTCCAGACATGGGATGTTGAGGCAGGGTGTTAGAGATCGAATTTTCACAAGGTGTATGTTTTGGACACTCGCTGATACCACACCACATACCACAGAAACCCAGGGAGCAAGTTGGGCTCAGGACAGTGATCCCGGCAGGAACCTTGACAAAACAAACTGAAGAAGAACCGTCCAGCTTGGATTCGATTCAACTGCAGTAAGTCGAAACTGTTGCAAAGAAGTTTGCTCGTCATTCGGCAAACCCATCGGACCCAAGCGCAAACGCAGCTTCCGAATCTCCCCGTGTCTATGAAAACCACCCTGGCAGCAGCAACAACAAAACACCTTGCGACATCCTACAAGTCATAGTCTGCCACGATGTTCCTGCACCACATCATCCTCAAGCCCCAGCGGGCAAAGCCTGCACAAACCCAGAGCCTGAGCAGACCCCGATAAGCTCGTGTGAGTGGCTGACATTCTTCGTGAACCCAAAATCCCACACCCAGAGCACAAAAGCACAAATGCACATTCATCCTGACACACACACACACACACGCACACACGCCACGTCATGCGTAGACACATGCCTTCAGCAGGTTCACGCTCCAAGCCGTCTAAAAGATCTGTAGTCCCCTCGAGTCCTGGCCTGCTCATGGGCCTTCGGCGCTTGTCCATCAAAGAGAGTCTGCAGCTCCTGTGAATAATTTCGGGGAAAAATTTCGGTCACCCCACCTTAGGACCTTCCACCCTATGTGAGACCTGAAATTGACATAAAGCCCTCAAGTCCAGCGTCCAGATGACCACCTCCTAAACCTGGAAAAATGGAGACGTCTAGACTGCGGCCGTACTGCGCTTGGGTGCTCCTCGGGTGCCTTCTGCAGGTTGACATTGGCATAGTGCTCCTGTGTCGGCTCTGGTCGAGTTTCCGGGCTTCCGCGTTTCGTGAGGGCTGAGTGCTGAAGAGGTCTCCGAATCCCCGAAGCCATGTCTTGAAGCACCTTGTCCGGTGCCAGCTATTTGGAAGACTTTGAAGATTGAGAGCGGCTGGGCGATGGCACTCGACTTCACGTGAGATTTACAGTCAAAACTACTAGATTCAGCTACAAGCTTAGCATAATCCCTACAAGACATATCGTTCCCCCTTGCAATCGCCATCATCATTCCTATCGGTGGAGCTATCGTCTAACAAGTATCGTGACTTCTAATGCTCGGACTGCTACTGTTCCTTTGCAAATCAACTTCGCTGTTGATGACGATTTCCGGAGACCACCAGTTGATGGTCCAGGCCAGCATCCAGCATGCGAAAAGAAAGCAAACAGGTCGCTCTTCCGCTTGTTTAGCGGAACTGATTTTCTATGTTCCTCTATTGCTATGCCATTCCTTCTGCTTCTTCACCGCAGGATGAGGAATGGCACGCATGCACCCGTCCCCGGCGCTGCTGCGCGCAGGACTGGGTTTGTCACAAGAAATCCCAAATGTTTGAGCACGCACCCAATAAACAGTCCCTCTTCACAGGCCCCTTCCTCCCTTCCTGCACTCAGTTCTATCACTCTCTCTCTCTCTCTCTCCCTCCCTCTCTCCTTTTCTCTCCCGCTCGCTCCCTAAGCGCATCACTCCTCGTGGAGTTCATGGGCCCAGCCGTCCTTCGCTCCATCGTGCTCCTTTGCTTCGATTGCAGGACGCGTAGTTTCGGGAGCAGGGTTGAAAACATTGAACTCTGGACCTCTGGGGCTCACCTATGTCGGCAGATTTCCCATTTGAGGCCTCATGGTCGTTCGGGATGGAAGATCTCGAAGCTCGCACTGCCAAAAACAAAAACACAAAAAATAGTATGCGGATCATTGTTCGTATTAGGTAATCATATAGCCAGTTGTTTACTAACTGTTTAAGCTTTTCGTCAAGATTTAGGAACCTTCTGCCAGATGTACCGGCCGGCCGCCATCGGATGGCGTGCAGACGCGCACGGGCAGACATGCAGACAGACAGACTGGGCCGAGACAGCTTAGCCCTTAGCCCCCAAACAACGAACTAATAAAGAGAACACAGCAACATGCACGTCCTAGCAGGATCCCCATGCCAAGGCACATACTCCAAGATTGCACGAGCCCCGGCCAAGAACTCCCCGGCCCACCTGACGCATCGGGCTGGAAGGCTCAGGCAGCCCTCTTCAAGCTCTAACTATGCAAGCCAAAATCTCCTCCTCCTCCTCCTCCTCCTCCTCCTGCTCCCCCTCGTGCTGCTGCTGATTCCTAGAAGGCTCCCGCTCCTGAGCAACTGCTACTACCACCACTACCCCTGCTTCTGCTGCTGCTGCTGCTGCTGCTGCTGCTGCTGCTGCTGCTGCTGCTGCTGCTGCTGCTGCTGAAATTATTGAATGTCGCCAGCCCACATTTGCAGCGCAAAGCCAGTCGAGTCGGCGCCAAACGGATTCCACAGCCGCGCCGCCACCTGTTTTTGGGCATCTTACCGCGAAGAGTCTAAAGTCCAGAAGGTTTGAGGCATGATGATCGAAGGGCTTTGGCGTTCACGCTGCCGGTTTTGAAAACGCACTTCGTGCTTTCAGCGCTTTGAGATTTCTTGGAATTGGGGGTTCAGAGCTTTGGTACGATGTGTTGAAAGCGTCAGCAAAAGTGTTTCAACCTGCCAGCTCTGAGGACTAGCAGTGACATCAACCGTATGACGATCCTATTGCACCGTCCTAGCTTTAAATGGTTCATATAGCAGTATGAACATGAGTATGAAGATGGCTTCGAGTCCGGGTACCTGAGTACGCTTCACTATGAAGGGCGATTGCAACAGTGACAAGAGCGACAGGGACGATGTCCGAAACTTCCACGAAGATGGATGATGATGTTGTTGATGATGATGATGATGATGACGACGTAGCTCTCTATGCCTCTCGTCCACGGCATCAGCAGCAGAAAGAGTGGTGGTGAAGCAGTCGCAGCAGCAGTAGTAGTAGCAGTTTTTGTAATATCATTATCGTTATTATTATTATTATTATTAGTAGTTGTTGTTGTTGTCGTTGTTGTTGTAGTGGTAGTGGTAGTGACTGGTAGTGGTAGTGGTAGTGGTAGTGGTAGTGGTAGTGGTAGTGGTAGTGGTAGTGGTGGAAGAAGTAGTAGTAGTAGTAGTAATAATAGTCGTCGCAGTGGTAGTATAGTAGTAGTAGT